TTATTTACTTGCTTCTGAAACTTGCAGAAGATGCGTGTGTTCAGGCCTCCCTCATAGCCTAGGATTTAAGTCTCAGCAGTATCACTACTAGGCTTCAAATTTGAGCCCTTGCATAGCCCCACCCTCACAGCTCCCAGGACTCCATGCCTGGCAAGGCCTGCCACCCTACCACCTAAAAGAACACTGACAGCTGGGCCAGACTGGTTGATACACTGGAACTGTGAGGGGCGAGCCTGACAGTCCTGAAAAGCACCTTCTCCTCCATGGCTGTGAGGCCATGCTTCTCGGAATCCCTAGCACACCACAGCCGTCAGGTGGCACCTACCTCCAGAAGCACCCACTGCAGATACAGAGCTGATCATTCCTGGGGCTGCTGGCACCTAGCCTGGCAGCCTCAAGAAGTAGCACAGTTAAGTCACATACACACATTTTATTTTGTGATGCTATTCCAACCAGGTATGTATTATACTGTTATAAAATGTTGTATCAATAATTTTTCTAATTTTAAATCAATACATTTATGTTAAAAATAATATGAGACAGGAATGTGTATTATCACAGAAAATAGTATTGTATTTTTCTTCATGTTACACAGCAAGATATATATCCTTGGTAATTTAGTTTATATTCCCCAGATAGACCCCTATATAGAGTAATATATAAGCAAATTTATATGGACACATAGTCTTTCAAAATTTGCTCACAATACGCATACATTCAATGTCATATATGCTTATGTATGTGTGTATGCACATATTTATACACACGTGCATATGCATATATAAATGATTTGCGTTTATATAAAGGAGCATTATACATTTGCCTATAAAATGTTTAAATTTTTTGCAATTAATTCTTTATATGTGACATTTTTCTTTAGGGTATCTATCTATCTATCTATCTATTTATCTATCTGTTTATGCATACAGAACTGGGGTACAGGCCAGAGGTACAGGGGCGGTGAGAGGATTCACCTGAAACAGAGTGGAGAGCAGAACAGGCAGGCTGACT